GTCACTTCAACGATGAAATTAGGAACGATGACAAATGGTCAGTGGGAGTTGACCAATATCGTGAACGCAGCCAAGAGAGGTAGTGCCTGGCAAGCAGGAATGATGGAATGATGTCCTGACTGGATGGCCCGCCCGCTGAAATACTTCCTGTCCAGTCCCCCCCTGCCGGATGATGCGGTTGAAACTCCGCCCTTCCGCCGCCCGCCGAGCGCGGGGCGCCAAAGAGTTCACTTTCTGTCATCACGTCACGATATGATCGACGATGTGGCGCGCCTTTGCCGCCTTGGATTAGAACGCGTAAAAACGACAACTCGCTAGCACCATCCCAGATCTGACGTGGATTACTTTACGAAGCTGAGTCAGCCCCAGCACTGCAGCGAAAACAAGATGGAATTGGTAGGTTGTTATCTGAACAGTATATTCACCAATTATATACACACGGGTGACGTCATCACATGCCGCCCCGCCCGCCCTGGCACAAAGGGAATTGAGGCAAAACGAAAAACCCTCCGAATCCCTCCGGGCCCTCGAAAAATCCCTGCTGACCAGGCCAAAAAACCCTCCGAAACCCGCGGGTTCAATGTCGTATTCTTATTCTCATATATATGTCGGCCGAACTGTTGCAAAATCGGGGACATTTGTCGAACAGTGCTCGACGGACATTGGCCAATCGCCGTCGAGCACCGTGCACCCCCGACAACGCTTTTTACACCCGGTGGCATGTCGCCCACACGGTGGCGCTGACGGTCGACGGTTGCGAAATACCGACTGTCGCAATCGACGGAGACGTCAACTGCGGCCGACCTGTCGCCTCGTCGGTCGAGCGAACTGTCGCTGTCGGATGGGCGACGGGTTACGTCTATCGCAGCCAAACGTTCACGTCAACTGCCGACTGCCACGTCAAATGTCTCAGTCTCCACGGGGAGCAACATCAGCCCAAGGTCACTGTATAAACCTGAATTCATAGTAGAAGCACCACACTTTCCTCAGCAGGCCAGGATTTAGGGAGAACTGCTAGCTTTCGGTGGGCACTGATGGAGACCGATCCGTCGACGACAGCGCCTTCACGGCAGGCGGACGTAGGACGGATACCTGTCGAATTGGAGTCCATCTCGACACCACCCCCTTCGTCGTCTGGAGCCACGCCGGTTTCTTCCGCGCCCCCTTCGACGATGCGTGCCATACCGGAGGTGGCAGCGCCCACCTCGACGTCGCGAGCCATACCGGTAGTATTACAGCCGGTTGTTACGGACCAGCGTTCGACGACCCCTTCGACGACGCGTGCCATACCGGAGATGGCAGCGCCCACCTCGACGTCGCGAGCCATACCGGTAGTAATACAGCCGGTTGTTACGGACCAGCGTTCGACGGGTATTCCGGTCACTGTTGAAGTGGGTAGTGCACTGACCGAATTCCCTTCGACAGGTCAATCCATACCTGTTGTCGTAGAACCCATCTCGACAACAAATGCCCCCTTTACACACGAGGCTCCTGCTCACCGTGCACCATCGTCGACAGCCCACCGCTCGACGGAACCTTCAGCTGGTGCACCGACCTCGACAGGTGGGCGACGTAGGAGAGCGAGGGCTGTTCCGCCTGAGGTTCGCCAACCACCCCCTGCCGGCACATCCGCTTCTCGAGCCGGCCCCGCCGCTCCTAGGCGCACTTCGACGAGACCAAGTAGAGAGGACTTAGCCAGGAACGTCCCTGAAGCGACGGACGATGACGATGTTCAAACGGGAGAACAGCAGGAGGCGGACGATGTCGAACCGCCAGACCCTCTGCGGCCTGCTGCGGCAAATATCTCAGAGGAGGATGCCGCGCACATTCTCGGCGACCAACCGGGCGCAGACAATCCGTACTTGGCGACCGGAACACTTAAAAGCAGGATTCTCCGGTGTGAGGTTCCGCTGCTGGGAGTTGACCAGGATTCCACACGGCCGAACTATGTCTCTGGAAGCATGCACTACAAAGCTTGGGCCTGTAAAATTCTGGCACCCGAGGGAAGCAACGGAGTGCCTAAAGAGGAGCAGGTGATCTACGAGGACGAGATCGGTAGGGAGATCGGCGACGATATGGGGCCGAGATGGAGGGAGGCGCTGCGTAACGAGGAGCACCTGCATGGGCCGAAAATAACGAAGTGGCGCTTGCGCGCGTACGTCGAATACATGTCGACTGAAACCGACCAACAAGCGGCTTCGTTGGACACAGGCCGGACCAGAGTCGCTGGAAGGAAGGCGAAAAAAAGCACCCCTCCGATGATGCTGGCGCGCCTTACTGCGCTGACGTGCTTCTGCAGAGTAGAGGCCATACTCTTCGACGAGCCACTAACGAAACCCTTGGACGACATCACCGAGGCCCGGCAGCTTCTTGCGGTCAAGCTGCGGCAGCTGCACGACTTTCAGTTCGAGTAAGTAGGCTGCCATACACCGGACTCTAAAACTTTTCACTCAAATTCTCACCCAACTACTCGCTGTATCTGCCCACTCAATGCAGGCAGTGCGTCGATCCACACCGGGGCTCGCTCGACGATGTTTACACGGAGGAGCAGTTCCGCATTCTCGTTTCAGACATCCTGCCGTACTGGGCCAAGGAGTACTTTCGGGAGTCGATGAGTTACCCCAGTCAGTCGCTGTGGAGGGCCTTGGCCGTGAGGGTGATGATCCTGATGGCGCATCACATGCTGGGCAGGGGGATAAGCATCCGCGAGATCCGCTACTGCAATATGTTCACTCACGTCCTTCCGCCCATCACGAACAGCAAGGGGGAATCGTCTATCCACGTTCTCGTGGTTGCCTATCGCAACTCGAAGACCATCAAAGACAACAAGCTCGGCCACCTGTACCTGACTCGACACATGGACTTCCGGCAGTGCGGCTTCGGAGCAATGTTCATGTGGATACATTTCATTTTCGACCTTGTGCCGCTCTACTACAACAACGATAAGATCGTGCCCCCCTTGGATTTCAGCAACCCGGAAAATTGGTCAAAGAAGCGCCTGTTCTTCGCCCTCTTCGACAAAGACAAGACCGAGTTGCCGTACGCGACTCATGCCAAATGGGTTACCTGGGCGATGAAAAGCGCGGAGTGGATCCTGTCGAAAGTCACACATATCTTTCGACGGTCTGCGGCACAGATCCTCGCCGACAAAAACTGTGAACTCGACAACATCGCGCAGCTGGGTCAATGGGACATGAACGAGATGCGCAGGTCATACGTCACAGGCATCCCGCGCGGGGCCATCCAACTACAAGCGGGTTTCACGACGGAACCGGGTGACTATTACCTTGGAAGATCGAAGAGCGAAGTACCCGCGAAGGTCCTGAAGGCTATCGAGGAGCACATATTTCCAAAGGCGGAGCAGTGGCTCGACGAGGTATGGATGCGTCGAGCGCTTAGCGTGATCATCGAATGCAAGTTTTGCCCATCTATCTCTCAATGTCACCACGTTTGTTCTTGTTCAGGCGATGGAATGGAACAACGAGCAGGACAAGGAGCATATGTTCTTCGCAGCGAAAAGTTTCTTGAAGGCCCTGCAAGCCGTCCGAATGCCCATCGCCGAGGATCTTGCGATGTACTACGTCCATTGTGACGACCACCCCTTCGACGGAGTGACTGTTTGCGACTGCGAGCGTCACCCTTATGTACAGATGTCCGGTTTGTGCAAGGACATGGATTTCCAAAAATGGGCGCTTGACGTGTACCTGCTCGACAAATACGGCATCAAGATGCGGACCAACCCCACGCTGTCGAAAGCCTCGGTAAGATGGCCCTTCTAATTTTTAATCCGAACAGATTGCATCAGCCCACTTACCTACCGCTCGTGATCTTGTGCGCAAGACGCATCCTTTCAACTCAACACCAAGCACCTCATCACGCAACTTCGGGCAGAGGTCAACTTACACAAGGAGGAGGGTGGGAAAAAAGAAATCAAGATCAAGGGCCTCGAGCAGAAGGTCGAGTCATTGGAGCGGGAGAAGGGCGCGACGCAAGCGGAGTTGGAGGCGAAGGCAGAAGCACTCGCGCTACTGCACAAAGCGTTCGACGCACTGAAGATTACCGCCGCGACAACCGCAGCTGCGAGTGTGGGGGGGAGCGAGAGTGTGCCGCAGACGGCGACCGAAGAAACCACCCCGCCACCACAGCAACCCCCTCAATCAACGCCCACTCAACAGAGCAAGGGCAGCCAGCTTGACCAAGCATTCTTCGACGCAGTGGTGTGGCCGTGGTGCAATTGCGAGACCGTGCGGCAGGCGTGGTCGTACTGGGACGGGCCAAGCCCGCTGAACAACGGACACAGTCTTCGACACGCTTACAGGAGGGGTTTCGCCGTCAAGTTCAGCAAGTTCACTCCGACTCCTCCCACCGTTCCCCAGGTTGCGGTGGACCAGCCAAAAGAAAAGCCACCGACCCCAAAAGCTGTCGAGTCGAAATTGCGGAAGATGGAGGTTGTCATGAGGGCCGTCGAGATATTCAGGGTCGACGACAGCAGCGCGGCTACGTCGACGATCATTGATAAGCTTGACTCAATAGTCGCGAACCACTCGATCAACATGCTGGCTGAAGGGCTCGTTCTCAAAGAGGATTCGGGGAAGCAGCTCACGAAGAAGCGCAAAGTCGAGACAGCAGAAGACAACCGGAAGGACAAAGATCGCCTCAGGATCACGCGGGAGCTCATTCGCGTCGAGCTTCGAACCACGAAATGGGCCGAGAACGTGCTCAAAGACAAATGGAAAGAGTTCATGGAAACATTGGGCGAGAGCCCAAGTTCGACAGGCAATCCTGACGAGGGGGGAAAGTAGAGTAGGGTGTTCTTTCAGAGATTGCATGGCAGATTCTCATTACTGATCGACCATCTTGCCTGTATGAACCTTCTGAGCATTATCGCACACGGAAAGTCAAGATTCATGCAACATGTACATGCTGTCGATTAAACTCTGGAAACAATTAACACAACTGTCGAGAATGGCAAACACCCCCACGCAAAGTGCCCGCCTAGACTACTCCCCTTGCCCGCTAGTTTCCGTCTCAGCTGCATCCTCGACGCCCTGCTTCGCCTTGCTCTTTTCTTCTGGCATAGCCAGGCTGCCATAGCCCGCGTCCTCCAGCAAGCGGGCAGCAGCTCGACAGCAGCACCATTGCGTACAGACCTGTGCTGCCACGCGCAGCATCTGCAGCAATATGGCGTCCGTCGAGCCGAGACCTTCGACAGCCGACGAATACAGGTGATCGGGCCACTGCTTCGCCGGGAACGTCTTGCCGACGTGCAAAAGTATTGACACGAGTGCGGACATGGCAGCCACACAAGCCTTCTTTGCAGTCTCCGGGGCGTAGATCGCCCCGTTTGCGGCAGCTAGGGCGTCCTTCTTAATATCCTCCCTCGACAACTTCCTGCAGGCCGCCCACAAGCTCGCCACAGTTGCTGCGATGGCCATCATGTGCGGTGTCGCCGCCATGCCCTTCGGGACCGGGTAAATCAGATTCCCGTGCTTCAGGCCAAGCGTCGCGACCTTACCAATCGCCACGCACAGCGCGATTCCCCTCTCGGTTCCAGCTTTCGCTTCCTTTTTTGCCGTCGCCAACAGCGACAGGTAACTGCACATCGCAAGAAATGCGTTAGTCAAGAGGCCAGAATTCGACCGACAGCACATTCACCGCAAAACAGCTAGTGTTCGACAAATCACCAAAACAGCAGGAATTCAACAGCAAAGTCTAGCAACATGACTTCGACAGGACTTACTCGTCAAAACGGCATTCCCCTTGTTCTTGCGCCACGCTCCAAACGCCGGTTGGCATTTCTGCGGCCGCATCAAGGTAGACCTTCCAGTCCTCCTCATCCTGCGCCGTGTACCCTTCGTACTCCGTAAGGACAACGTCGGGGAAGTACACGCGCCAGCAGACGGCCGTACAGAACTTCTGGTCCTTCTCTGTTTCAAATGTGCCAAGGAACCGCTTCCTCCCGCCGACGGTCTGCTCGGAAACCAGCTTCCCCTTCCGCAACCCGAAACCCAGTCCTTTGAAGGGACGTTTGCAGCCTCTCGTCTTGCCTTGGTCGTCCGGTCGAGGAGGTGGGGTGTGACCCGTGACCCTGGCCTTCTTCGCCTTTTCCTGTCGAGCAGCAACGACAATAGAGGTCTTCTCGACAGGCGCCTGACCAGGGACGCTGGCCAGCTCCACCACGTCAAGGCTCTCTGTCGCGTGTGCAGCGCGCTTCGACGACTTCGTCGCAGCCGGCTTCTTCTTCGACTTTGAAGGGGAGCCCGGATCGCTAAGGCAAACGTTGCCTAGGGACGGAGCAGCGGCGAAAGGAGCAACTGGAGGGGTTGAGGAAGACGCCCAATTTCCCACAAGCCCGGCAGCAAGGCCAGCACCACCGTTGTGCGCAGCTGATGCCGCTTTAGGCTTCGACAGCAACCCAGCGCTTGCTTCTCCCGCTCCTTTCCCTGCACCGCCGCCTGACGGGGTAGAGGCACCTCGCATTCCTAGGGCTCTGTTCCCGGTCGAGGCGACGTGCTCGTTCGGGGCACCACTTTTCTCCCCCACGACCACTCCTTTCCCACCCGTTTTCCCCAGGTCTTGCAGCATGTCCCGCATCGAAGCAAACGCATCAGGTTGATCGATTGGAGCCGCTACGGAGGTCTTCGGGAGGGCTGACTGGTCGAGTACGATGACTTCGGGGACGGGCTTGGCGACGGGATGACGGCCACGCGCCGGTGGGGATCCAACCGGGCTGCCGACATGTCCTCCCACCGAAGAAGACGGAGGAACCGACCGCTCGTGACCTCGAGGCTCAGCCCCGCTGCGAACCCCTCCCACACCCTCCTGACGCGACCTCGTCGACGGGCCCGCCGAGCGCTGAAAACCTCTCGCCATCGCTTCGGTGAGGACTTCCAACCTCCCTGCTTCGGCTTCTTGGTATCCTTCCCTCACAAGGTCCTTCAGCTCCTTCATGGTCTCGGGTGGGAGAGTGGAGCAAAACATGTCCTCCATGATGGCTTTCTCGAAACCCTTCAGCACCGCAGCAACCAGCCGCTCCTCGACCTGCTTGAGCTGCTTCTCGACGGCGTCCTCGCTCGCTTTTGTGATGGCGGCTACCACCCCCTCGATGATCTTCCCGCTCATCTCGTCGATCTTCGCCCGCGCCCCTTCCAACAGGTTCCTCTCCGCCGTGACACCCTTCACAGCCTCGGCACACTGCGACAGTGTGCTCTTCGACGACTCCGAAATCGTATTCCACGCCGTCCGAAAATCCGCCGCAAGCCTGTTGAATACTCCGGCTTGCTCAGTGTGTTTCGCAAATACATCGGCGACGAGCTGCTTCTGCGACGCCTCGACCTTCTCGACCCTCTGCAGTAGCTCGACGACCTGGCCTCCGGGTGCAACGTTCGCGGTCGATTGGCCTGCCGTCGAAGGCCACCCGGTCGAAGGGCCCGCCTATCCGCTGCCACTGGCCGTGCGGTGACTCCTTGTTACGGCGGCCTGTCGCTCATCTCCTCGACGATACTCCTCAACAGCCTCCCCGACCTCCTGCTCCTGCCCTCCCGACCCACTCACCCGCGCAGCCGCAACCCTAAACTCCTGCTGCTGCACTCCTGCCCCACCCACCTGCGCAGCAGCCACGCCCTCCTGCTGCTGCCCTCCTGCCCCGCCCTCCTGCGCAGCCACCTCGCCCACCACCTGCTGCTGCCCTCCGACCCCACCCTCCTGCGCAGCCGCTCCGCCCTCCTGCTCCTCGACAGTCTTTGTTTCCCCTGTCGCCTGCTGCTCGATAAGCTCTACTCGCTCGTCCACCCGCTCCCCGAGCGCCACTCCGTGCTCCCCCGTACGCTCCGTTCGATGTCCGGCGCCCTCACCGTCGTCCTCGACCGACTCATCGCTCGAGCTCGAGCCGGGGCTCGATTCCGAGCTCGAGTCCTCGTCCTGGTTCGCATCGCCGCCCGGGCCGCTCGCCCCGTGCTGAGCCTGCCTCGATGTATCCTCCTCGATCTCCTCCTCCTCCTCCTCCTCGACGCTGTACTCAATCACGACGCGTCCCGTCTTCTCGCCTCCTCCCTCGTGGTCGACACCCCCTCCCACACTTGCTCCCTCCGCCAGCTGGTCGATCTTTCTCGAAAACAGCTTGACCATGAACAACGAAAGCACACCCGGGCCAGGGTTCGTTCTCCCTAGATGCACGAGTTCGCCCTTTCGAGGCTGTAGGATGAATTCGTCCCATTTCGACAGAATCCGGCGCACCCCATGCACGACACGAGCTGCCGCGCCGTTTTGATAGGGGCTCGACAAGGCCGTCGTCGTCTGCGACGGGTACAAAACATACGTAAGCGACAAAACACTTGCTCGGCGAAAACGCTGTTGGTCTAAGGAGAGCTTACCAGATGGTTGAAATCCTCGTTAAACTCCAGACGAAGGTCCATCACCTTCAACACTTCTTGGTCGTCCTCGGTCAGAGCCTGGTGGGTCATCGCGTACTCGGCGCGAAGCTGCTTCTTCATCCACCTGCGACGCAGAGGACAGAAGAGTAAGATTGTCGAGAACAGCAGCTCGACAGCAGGGTTGCAAAGCTGTCACTCACACGAAAACTTCTTGCGCCAGAAAAGATTGGTGGTTCATATCGGGAAACTTGTCTTTCGAATCGAAGTGCATCATTCGAGTTCGACTGCCACGGTGCCTCGGAGCCAGCAGATCATCGGGGCGCGATACCACAAACAGGCTCGAGTGGGAGAACGGAGGCACACTCAGTCTGCATGCACAGCCAATGCACGTGAGAACGGGTTCAGGGCTAAAGACGGAGCATGCAAGGCGACGGGAGAGTGTCGAACTCACGGTGTCCGCAGCAGAACGAAAACCACTTGCTTGCCGAGGAGGCCGTCGAGGTGGTTGTTCGCAAAAGCGACCGGGGTGGGACGGGCCATCTCTTCACGCGCACGCGCCGGAGTCACGATCGACACCTTGGGGAGCTGCTCGACGGAGAGCAGTTCATGACAGAACAGGCTGCACGGAAAGCTAAGTCAACGTCAGCGATTGGTAAACCGAAACATGGCAAACCGAAAATGTTCGACAGGACACGTACACGACGCCCGCGACCATCATGCTCTCGTCGAGCTCCCCTTTCGGCGCCTCTCTAATCGCATTCAGCTGGTCTTCGAACACCTCCACCTCGACCCCGCCTGCACTAAGGATGAGGCCGCGTCGAACCGTGGCCTCGTTCATGACGGGTACGGAGGCGGGGCCCGTAGCCATGTCTGTTCTAGCAGTGGAGAGGGCGGACGCGCAGGGGAGTTGGGAACTAGCAGGGACTAGGAAGTAGGGAAGCAAAAATCGGAAACAGCAACAAAATGAGACCGGACGCAGGGTATTAGCTGTTTGCCATCCCTCCCACCGCAACGGACCAGGGGGGTTCAAGGGCGAGGAGGCAGGGCGCGTTCCGAGACGTGGGAGGAGGAGGGAGGCCGGCGGGGCCCCATTGGCCTCGACGTGAAACCTGGTCGTTGGGGTGGGCAGCCTTGCATGCAGCTGAAAGGCCCCTTCCAAGGTTCGGGAGGGGGCCTTCGACACGTCGCCAAGATCGAGCGGCTTGAACGAAACGGGCCCGTCTAGGGCGAGAGCGGTGGAGCGCGGCGCAGATGGGCGTCGCTTTCGTCTGGCCGGCGAAATATCGCGGACTGGTTCCGTCGGCGAGGTGTCGCTCGGCGAGGGACGGGTGGGTTACCTGACGGAACCCGTCGACGAACTGAGCGGGGGGTTGGGCTCGGTTGGGGGGTTGGGCTCGGTTTGGGAGGGGGACCACTGCCAGCTCGAGGGCGCGGGCTGCTGGCGTCATCGGCAGCTAGCGCCAGCTGGGGGTGCCCGTTTTCGGGTGGGAGGGGGGGGGTGGCTCCCGCCCCTCGCGTGCTTCGCTAGGCGACGGCGGGAAAACGAAAATCCCTCCGAGGAAAACCCGCAGGGGCGAACGGGTTTCCGCGGAGGGATTCGGGCGACGTCTTCCCAGTAAGTGATGTCGTGCGCACGAAAACTTGCAAGCTGGATCCCAACGATGAAAATGGGAAAATAAAATATTCCATGCAGCATTTGAGCGCTGAATGCATTGCGCCGCTGGCTTGGATCTCAAAGCTGAGCTGCATCTAAATGACGCTGGGTGCCACGCGAAGCTGCATTCCGTACGTGCCAACATGGCATTGCATCTAGGTGTAGTCTGTACTGTACAGGAGGGCTCGGTGGGATGTGGGTTGCTTCTGCGTTGCTGGAGCGCGTTTGCAATTTCCGACCGATTTCTGATGGATGTTGCAAGTACTGTAGATTCCGACTGTTCACACGATAGAAATACGGAGCAGCGCATCTGGTCAGGGGAGAAAAACGACACCGCAACCGACCAGATACTGCCGTATTGACCCAACAGCACTCGTGCAAAGAGAATAGCGGACAGTGGACACCGCTATAAGTTTGGCAGGCTCTTCGTCAAGTTCCACTGCTCCAATCCAACACCACGCCGACTCCTACACAACCTTAACCTTATCAATTTCCATTTTCCTTTTGATTTTCCTTTTGATTATTACGGGTATTAGGGTCACGGACCACGGTCCATTCCGAGGGTCTCGTGTCAGTTGGGTTCGGCCCACAATTTCGCCCCGAACCACTCCTGAGGCGCCACCGCACCATTCGCCACCGCCCCAAGCCTCGTTTCGCCCGAGGTCCTCGCCTATCACGTTTCTGCCTATCACGTTTGTACACATTTCAGATGACATTTTGTAGTTCCGACCTTGAGTGCCTTTCAGCTCGTTTGTGGAACCCACACACCGCACTCATATCAAGTACGGTACAAACAATGAGCAAGAGAAGATTCATAAGGAAGCTTACTCTATTGGCCACTAGGTTGGCCCACGGTGAGCTTGCTTGTATAGCCCAAGCAACCACAAAATGTGAGCTGGTTGGGATTGGTGGAGCTAAGGACCATCCACAAAATGTTAGCTGGTTGGGATTGGTGGAGCTAAGGACCAACGTTTGGCACATGCCAACCAATGACCAAGGTTGAGGACCAATATTCACCAACCACAAATTGAGGTTGGAAGGTACACCCATCAACCCCCCAATAGACAAGATAGCTACACCTCTGAGTCCAGCTTATGGATGTTGTATCAAATAAGAGATCAGACCACTTGGTTCTTTGCTGTAAGAAGCCACGAGCCTATAAAGTTCATTCACCAGCTCCTGGTGATCCTACTTCTTGCTCTGCCCCTCTCTCCCTCCCTCCCTTACAGTCTCTCACCCATAATTCTTTGATCTGTAAGCCGCCACGAGCCTATCAAGCTCATCCACCAACTCCTGGTGCTCCGACCCCTTCTTGCTCCTCACCTTGCCCCTCTCTCCCCCACCACCTCCACTCCCCAGCCCAGCCATTGCTGCTTGCGCCCGCCTAGCCTCCATTACCGCAGCCGCTGCTTCTCCTCTCCTTGCGTCTGTCTTTGCTTTTTTAGAACTGGGAGTCACTGCGGCAGCAGGGGAGGTAGCAACAGCTTTCATTGCCACTGCTGCTGCTCCCCTCCTTGGTTCTGTCTTTGCCTTTTTAGCACCAGGACTCAATGCAGCAGCATGAGAGGCACCAGAAGCCTTCATAGCAGCAGCAGACAAAGCACCAGCAGCTTTCACTACAGCAGCAGCAGACACGCCAGCGCTCCCTGCTCCACCCTTCTGCTTCCTCTTTAACTCGCCCTTCCCACTGCCTCTCAATCCGCTCTGTTCCGTTGTACCAGCTGTCTTTGCACCAATCCTCTGCTGCTCTGCTGCAGCGCCCGCCTTCCCACCTGCTTGCCCCAGTGGTCCCTCAGGCCCCTTCACATCCTTCCCCTGTCCCTTCACGTCCTTCCCCTGCCCCTTCCCCTTGGCTCCTTTCACCTGCTTCTGCTTCTTCTTTACTGGAGACCCCTCCGTGGCACCACCATCGGGTGCCTCGCCCTCTTCAGGCTTTCTCTTTGCACCCCTTGCTTTCCCCAGACCAGCAGCACCAGCTTCTTGCTGCTTCTGCTGCTGCCTCTTCTCCTGCTTCTGCTGTTGCCGCACTGCCTGCCGCCTGTCGCTCTGCTGCCTCACCGTGTGCTGCCTCTGCTTCACGATGGATACATTCTCGATGGCAAATTCCACTATGGGGCGAGCATCACGAGAGAAGATGGCTGCAAGAATGTACGGGTGGGGCATGGATGAAGGAGGGGAATGGAAGTGAGAGAGGGAACCGGATGAAGGGGTGGGGGAATGGACGTGCGCTGCCTCTGCTTCTCGATGGATACATTCTCGATGGCAAACTCCACTATGGGGCGAGCATCACGGGAAAAGATAGCTGCAAGAGAAGGATGATGAGAATAGGAGAGGAATACAGATGTAAGGGAGACTCATGGGTGCAATGGAGAGGTATGTACGTGTGCTGCCTCTGCTTCACTATTGAGGCATTTTTAATCGCAAACTCCACTATGGGGCGAGCATCACGAGAGAAGATGGCTCCAGGGATGCAAGGGAAAAGCATAGATAAGGGAGGAAGGCACAGAAATAAAGGAGAGGTGTGGAAGTGTGCTGCCTCTGCTTCACTATGGCCACTTGATCGCAAAACTCCACTGTGGGCGGGCTTGTCACGGGAGTAGAGGGCCTTGAACAGGGGGGTCATGGGGAATGAATGGGAGGAGCATGGAAGTTGGGGATGTAAGAAGAAGCTGGGGATGAAGTTGAGGAGCATGGAGAAAGGCTGCAATCGCAAGAGAAAATGGTTGCGAAGGGAACAGACAGATGTAAGGGAGAAGCACAGAAAAAAGCACACGCGAGTGATTGGGGAAAAGAGCACGCGCAAGAAAGGAACGTCCATCCACATGCAACTGATGTGGAAGGAGAAGTAGGGATCTAGCAGTTGCTGTCAGCACCACACAGAACCCAGAGCAGCACACAGCACAGCGCAGCACTCACTGGGATGGTTGTTGAGCGCCCTCAGTGCTGCCACCGCATGCCTCACTAAACTCAATGAACGCCTTTCCCTTTGCCTCTGTCTCATGAACTGCACAGCACCGCATTGCACAGCACTTCACCGCACCGCACCACACTTCACTCACTGGGGTGGTTGTTGAGCGCCCTCAGAGCCGCCACCGCATGGTGATGCTCACTGAACTCTATCAACATCGCTCCCTTGGACCGTGATTGCCGTCTCAAGAACAGCACACCACCGCACTGCACTCAAACCATCGCACTGCACTGCACAGCATCGCACTGCACCGCACTGCACTCACTGGGATGGTTGTTGAGCGCCCTCAGAGCCGCCACAGCGTGCTGATGCTCACTGAACTCAATGAACGCCGCGCCCTTGGACCTCGGCTTGCCGTCTCAAGAACAGCACACCACCGCACTGCACTGCAAACCACCGCACTGCACCACACTTCACTCACTGGGGTGGTTGTTGAGCGCCCTGAGAGCCGCCACAGCATGCTGGTGTTCACTGAACTCAATGAACGCCGCTCCCTTGGACCTCGGCTTGCCGTCTGGCCCCACCCGGTCTGCTTCCCTCAGCACCTTCACCTGCAGATATGAGAGAGAGAGAGAGGGGTGCGAATTGAATGGAAGGAGTGCAAAGAGAGGTTAAACATCGTTCCTTTCTTTCTTGCCGTCTGGCCCCACCCGGTCCGTTTCCCTCAGCACCTTCACCTGCAGAAATGAGAGGATGATGAAAGGGAGTGGTGGACAACGGTTGAAAGGAGTGCAATTAGAATACGAGAAGGTGGTCAAATGCTGCTCCCTTAGTGAAAGGGAGGACGATGGAAGAGGGTTCACTATGGAAACGAGGGGTGGAAGATGGTTGTGAAAGGTTGACGACTCGTGCCTTCACAGCTTCCACAAACACCTGCTTGAACTGCTTCTCGCGTTCCTCCATTCACCCCTCTACCGCTTGGATTCTCCATGCACCCGTCATCCCCCTGTCTCACCTGCTTCACGTGTGGCTTCTGCTTCTTGGCTCGTGCCTTCACGACATCCACAAACACTTGCTTCAGCTGCTTCTCTCCCTGCCCTAACCCATCATCTCATTGCCCAATCACCCAACCACCTCACATGTTTCACATGCGGCTTCTGCTTCTTGGCTCGCGCCTTAACAGCATCCACAAACACCTGCTTCAGCTGCTTCTCGTCCATCTCTTTTGGCACGTTGTGCACCGCCAGGCGCGTCAACGACACAGAGAAGTTGGGGCTCCTTAGTTTCATCAGCTTCTCGCGCTGCAGCCTGGGGGAGGCATGGGGGAAGGCACGTGGGGATGTATGTGTGGAAATTACAGAAGCTTCTCAGCTTCAGCTGCTTCTTCCCCATCTCCTGAGGCACGTTGTGCACCGCCAGGCACGTCAACAACACCGCGAAGTTGGGGCTTTTTAGTTTCATCAGCTTCTCACGTTGCAGCCTGGAATAGGAAAAGATGGGATAGGAGCACAAAAGATAACAAGAAAATGACCTTCGCGCCATGTCGAAAGCCACATTAGCGATGCGACAAACTTGGGAGTGCTCAGATTGAGTTAGAACGCATTCAGTAAATTGAACATAATGAGCAGGGCTGGAAAAAATAAACAAAAAGAATCTCCCTCTGCTGTCAACGCATTCATCTCATCGAACCCATCTATTTCCCCAATCCATCTATTTCCCCAATCCACCTCTTTCCCCAACTCCTCTATTTCCCAACCAACATCTTTCCCCAACCCCTCTATTTCCCAACCCACATCTTTCCCCAGCCCCCTCTATTTCCCAACCCACATCTTTCCCCAACCCCCTCTATTTCCCAACCCACCTCTTTCCCCAACCCACCTCTTCCTCTTCTCCATGTCTGTTGCTGACATCCCCTCCGCTGCTCGTGTACCCTCCTTTATCACCCCCTCCTGTAATGCCATGCCACGCCACGCCATGCCATGCCACGCCACGCCATGCCATACCATCGATTCAGTTCCGTAACATCCCATACCATGCGATGCCATGTTATGTGATATTTTTGTTAT